CAGTAATGGGATGGGGTCGGTGATTGGGCTGGTAGTGCCTGCAGCCACCGTGACCCTGCAAGGGGATGGGGGCAATAATGGGGCTGGTAGTACCTGCAGTCACTGCGACCCTATAAGGGTTATGGGATCAGCAATGGGGCTGGTAGTGCCTGCAGCCACCGTGACCCTGTAAGGGGATGGGGTCGTTAATGGGTCAGTAATGGAGCAGGTAGAGCCCACAGCCACCATAACCCTACAAGGGCTATGGGGTCGTTAATGGGGTCAGTAATGGGGCTGGTAGCAACCGCAGCCACCGTGACCCTATAAGGGTTATGGGGTCATTAATGAGGCCATGAATGGGGTCATTAGTGGGGTTGGTAGTGGGGCTGGTAGCAACTGCAGTGATCCCATAAGAAGCATTAATGCAGTAATTAGTGGGGTCAGTAACGGGGCTGGTAGCGACTGAAACCACTATGACCCTATAAGGGTTAGAACATTGTTAATGGGGTTATGGATAGGGTTACAAATAGGGCTGGTAGTGCCTGCCCACCATGGCTATATAAGAGTCGTTAATGGGGTAATTAGTGGGGTTAGTAATGAGGCTCGTAGTGCCCCTACAAGAGTTAAAAGGTTGTTAATCAGGTAATTAATGGGGTCAGAAATGAAGCCCGTAGCACCCGCAGCCACCATGACCCTTTAAGGGTTATAAGGTCATTAATAGGGTTGTTAACAGGATCAGTGATGGAGCTGGTAGTGCCTGTGCCCTTATAGGGTCATTAATAGGGTCATTAAAGGGGGTTCACTAGAGAGGGAGTCCATAGAGGGCTGAGAGCCACCATGGCCATAGAGAGTTATAGGGTTGTTAACGGGGTCATTAATGGGGCTGCTCATTACTGTGCCTCCTCGTTAGCGGGGCGACTCCGTGAGCGGGGTCCCTCATTAGCACTGCTGCTCCCAGTGGGATTCTCATTACTGAGAGCTTCTCTGGCGATTAATTAGCATTAATTAGCGGGCCCACCTTCTCACGGCCCGGCTCGTCGCCCTCGTGCTGCTCCACCCCGAATTTGTGGTCCATCTCCTCCCCCCCCTCGCAGATGTTTTTCCCTTTGCACAGATCATAGACGTGCGTCAGCCTCTTCTTGGGCTGCCCCTTGGACTTGGCCAGGATGTCCTTGATTTTCGGGTTGTTCTGGGGGAGGGAGGGGGAAGAAAAAGGGTCACCCCACGATTCCATCGGTGAATCACCCCAAATCCACCCCCCCAAAGCCCCAGCACCCCAAAACTTCCAGGAATCCCAACAAGTCCCCGCATTTTGAAGATGCCCCCAAAACCCCACACCTCCAAGAATCCTACCCCACAAACCCCAAACCAACCCTCTCAATACCCCAACCCCTCCACTTCCAGCCCCCCAAAATC